ACCAAACCAAGTGAGAAGTGTTGATTTAAGCAATAAATAGCTCTGTGGGGAAAGATTTGAAACCACAAGGCGTTTCTGTGTATCAAAAGTGATTTAAGTTATTAAGAAAATCAAATAACAATTAAATTTTCTTTTATGTTATTTTATTATTTTTTATTTTATTTTGCTTTATTTTAATTTGTTTAAATTTATTTTCTTTAGTTTTTTTTATTTTATTTTAATTTAATTTATTTCATTTTAAATTATTATATTTTACATAATTTTTTTACTTTTATCTCATTTTTTTTTACTTTATTTTACTTTATTTTAGTTTAGTTAATAAAATATATTTATTTTACTTCAGTCTATTCCATTTAATTTATTATTTTTTCTAAATTTAATTTTATTTTATTTTACATTTGAATTATTTCTTTTTATTTTGCTTTATTTTATTTTGTTTTACTTTTTTTATTTTAAGTTATTTTATTTTTTTTAATTTCTTTATTCAATTTAGTTTGTTATTCTATCTCATTTAAATTTTTTTTTATTTTTTTAGCTTATTTTATTTAGTTTTTTTTTTTTATTTTATTTTATTTTATTTTTTTAGCTTATTTTATTTTGTTTTTTTTTTTTTACTTTATTTTATTTTATTTATTTTATTTTATTTTATTTTATTTTATTTTATTTTATTTTATTTTATTTTATTTTGTTTTATTTTATTTTATTTCATTTTATGTTATATTATTTTCTTTTATTTTATTTTACTTGTTATTTAATTTTATTATTTAGTTTTATTTTATTTGATTTGAATTAATTTCATTTTATTATATGTGTTTGTTCCTTTGATTAATTGTGTTCTCAGTCTTGAAATAATTACATTATAGAAGCAAAGGAATCCCTTGGGTTCGCCCTGGACTACAAGCACTAAGCTGAGAATCTGAAATACGAGTCATATGCATGTGCATATGTTTGTGAGTGCGCATGTATTCTGTTATTCATTTGATTATCAGTAGAAGTTACGTCCTTGTCGCAATGTGAAGCGTTTATTACATTTTGCCTGTCATGTATAATAAAGTTTCAACAACATTACCTGCCCATGCGTATGTAGATACACATACATGTGCATATGTATGTTTATTAATTATATATGTATATGTATATGTATACTCATTCCGGCATTGCATGTCGCCTTTGCATCTTTTCATTGCTCCTCTCTTGTATATATGTATGTGTGTCTGCATGCAGGCTCAGCATTTGTCTGGCTTATTTTGTCTCTTATCTCTAATTGTCTTAAATAGAATCATTGTCAACTGTTAAAATACAATAAATAAATTTTTCAAAAATTTATTTTATTGCCCTTTTTATTGTTTCACATTTCATTTTAGGGGACCTGTTATTACTTTTATGCTTATGTTAATTGCAGCACTTTGCTTTGTTTATGTTTGTTTTTAAAGTGAGTTGAAAAGTGACTTTGTTACTGGAGGAAAGAAAACAGAAAGAGAAAGAGAAAAAAGAGAAAATTTACCTACAAACTATTAAATATTATTTTCCATATTTTCCGATAATATTTATTTAATGCGCGATCCGAAAATAAGAAGAGCGCGAATTTATTTAGTAAAAAAGAGAAGATGATAGAAACGGAAATAGTGAATACCGATTTTAAAATAAAGCATTGTAGATTGCTGATCTTTATTAAGGAGGGGGAGGAGACTGAAGTAAAGGGATGTGCGCATTGTAACTCAAGACTTTGTTCGAACATTATCGGGTAATGCTGCAACTACCCATTTTATTTACCATCCGTCCATAACAGCCGACTGGGAGAACGATATGCGTACACGAGTTATCGACGCTACTGAGAGCGGCGAAATGTTGCCAGCTGCCAGTGTGTTTGCACACTTCTGAACAAATATATCATTTTCGTCAACAAATTTCATATTTTATGTGTTCGAATATAAACGCACATCAAATAAACATGATCTTTATGGCTTCAAATAATTAGTTCCGAAATTAATATTCATTTATTTTGAAAAGAACTACGCATTATCTTCGATTATATAATAGTACTTTAAAAAAGGCAGTACCTTGTATAGCAACGAGAAATGAGCCGAGCCGGTTTTAAGGAAAAAAAATGCGAGACAACCGTCAGTTAAGGCATGGGCAAGCGGTGACAACTTGTTTACATGGCGCTCTCATAAAATAGGTTGCTATGGTCGGAAGGTATGTTAGATGGGTAATTGCAGCATAAGTCGAGTATTTGAGCAAAGCGTACTCGCACAAACGTTTATTACTCTTTGCTCGAAATTTTTCGAACACAACCTCAGGCAATTCGATTTTTTCGGGCATTTTCAGCAAAAATTATAACTTTTCGCTCAGAACTTCTTTCTGTAATTTTATATTGTACTTATTTTCTTTCTATTAAACCTTGTTGTAAAAAAACAAACTCAATAAAATTCCAAAGAAGTTGAAAATTTCATAATTTAAAAAAAAATCCATTTAAGCTGCTGAGCAACGCACGAGCATCTAGTATGCTTGGAGCGATAGTGGACAGGTAGCGTAAAAAGTGGCAACTAAAAAAGTTTCAATACACTCGCATTACCGCAATACAAGTGAAATCCCCTTGCATTTCACTAATTCGGTCATCAAAAATTGAAAAATCATTTGTTGTACCTAAATTCAACTTTAAGCTACAAAATTTCGTGCGACATTCAACTCATTCACCGCAAAAAAAGAAAACAAAAAACAAATACGAGAATGCCGAAACGATTTACCTACCAGCGGCTGGAGGAGTGGTCCGCATGCGAGACCAATCGTTAATACGCAACAACAATATTTGCTCCAGTTTAATTTGCATGAGAAGTTTTCAAAGAGGAAATGCATATGCATGCATGTATGTATGTGTACTACATACAAAATACGACCTACAATACAAGCAACAGCAACAACAATAACGGCAATAAATAGCCTTGATGCATTAGGAAGCAAAGGTGAAATGGTGCAACAGCTCCAAAAATCAAAGTTGACCGCATTTTTTGTTTTTGTTTGTGCTTCATTTTTTGCTCTGTTTCTTTCCAAAGTTCATATTTGTTGTTGATTTTATTTTTATTACACACAAGTACATTCGCAAATGTTTGTATGTACTCGCATATACATATGTATGTATGTATATATGTACATATGTATTTATATTGTGTGTGGGTTTTTTCGTAAATGTGGTGGCCGGTACCAATACATAGATACGAATGGGCTTGTGCTAAAACAAGCGATAGACTAAATTGAAAATGGGGCACGTAAAATACCATTGTTGAAGTGCAAGTGCAGCAGGAATTTTCTTCTTGTTTTTTGTCTTGTACACCTGCATATCTGATCATACTCGTACTTTACCACATATCTTTGCGTTGGCTTGTATTTTAATACCTTGCATATATTGTATGTGAAGCGGTCGCATTAGCCGAGTGGTTAGCATTGCGTACTGCCATTCGGAAAGCTCGGGTTCAAGTCCTGGTGTCGAAGTAACATTCAAAAAAGTTATAGAAAATTAATTTAAATAAAAATTAAGCTAAATTTTATAATTACGGTCGTCCCTCGGTAGGAAATGACCAATAAAGGCTCCTCGTAAGAAAACCGTCAGCCGTTCGGAGGCGGCTCAGTATAAACTGTAGGCTCCTCAATCTGTTGGAAAAACATCATGACACAAATTGGAGGAGGAGCTTGGCCGAAAAATAATCGCTGCAGCGGCTTGAAAGCGCCAATTGCATATATTGTATATATGTATGTATGAATGAGAGTGTTTGTGGCTTAAAAACAAAATAAAAGAAACAATTTCATGCGACCACTCACCAGCAACTGTTGCAATCATTTGCAATTCTATAAAATTTTCTATTTCTTTTTTTTTTTTGTTTCATTTTCGTTTCCTATTTGAGTGAACATTTTTGAAGAATGTGAGGTTTGGTCAGCATTTTTAACATTTTTCTACTTAATTACAGCAATTTGTTGAGGGGATATTGGAAAGTGTTTATTTGAGGAATGATTTGAGCTTGAAGGAAATTGCAGATAGAAAATAAGAACACTAATGTATGTATATTATATAAAGGGTGTCTCAAAATTAACGAAAAATTTTGATTAATTAGAAAATATTGTTTTTAGTCCTCGTATAATGCCTTTTCTTTATTGAAAGGTGTTTTTTAGTCGTTTGGTTATTAATCAGGCAAAACTTGTTCTTCGAAGTTGGTCTTCTTACCGGCTGTTACTTGATTTATACCCAGTTAATTACCACACGCCGCGCGCTGCGTCCAGTATTCTGTCAACATAATCGCCCAGCAGAGTCGGCAATTCGAGCAACTATGAATTGATTCGCACCACGGTCACTCTAGTAGATACTACGCATCTTCAGAGACGCCGTACAGTGCGCTATTTTTTACTAGGGTGCAGTCGCTCTACCAACGCGCGCAAGCAATTGGAGCTGCGCCCATAATCTTTATGGAAGGTTTTGCGGAAGGATCTTGGTTTGCGGGCTTACTAACTCCAACTCGTGCATGAATTGAAGCCGAACAACCATTAAGTGCGCCGCATAATCGTTGAATGAGCCCTAAACGAGATGGCCATCAGTCTCGGTTCTCACTAGAGAATTTTGTACAGCGAAGAAGCCCACTTTTGTTTGAACGTTTGGGTGCGCTAAGAAACAAAATTGTCGTTTTGATAATCCACAATCAATTTTTGAGCCGCCATTGCATACCTAAAAGTTCTCATTTTGTTGTGCTCTTTATGCGGTTGGAAGGAGGCGGGTAATACTAAATATATCGTCCCACACATGTCCCGACTACGGAGCTTTACAAAAGCGTTCATTCTTATTTCCCAATCCTTCACAACAACAGTTTACATACTTTCAAAATGATAAGCTAACAAAGAAGAATGTGAAGAAGTATTTTAGTCTTTGGCTCTAGGTTTGATTCGGTTTTCAACTATTTACTAATATCACATTAGATTTTATGTTCTTTTTCAACATTCTCTTAAATTCTACTCACCGGAAATATACACCAGGTACACGCTGATCAATATCTGTTGGATAAATACGTCCCACACGACACTTGGAGAACCAAATACCAATAAATGAAGGATCACGACGCTTCGGGTAGTCTTTAATGGGGAACACGAGAGGATATGTGAGATATTCTGGCGGATCGGAGAATTCCAAGTAGCCGTTTAGTGAAAGCTATTGAAGTAAAGCAAAAACAAACATTATAAATTCTAAAAATTTGGTTATTTTGATAAACTTACCCGCGTGTAATTATAGATGAATCCAAAGAATGGCAGGCGAAAGTTTAAGTTCTTATGTAATTGGGTCATTGAAGCATGTATATCGTATTGATAGTCACCACGTCCACCATTCGTATCCCTATCGAAATACCAGTACATCAAATTTGAACGGATCTCTTGTAAACGTTGTGCGGTGATGACATAGCCACCAGCCGTATGGGAGGCCACATTCGGGGGTGCCACGGGATTATTGAGATTGGCTGTAAACGGAATATAAAACAAAATATAGTATGTATAATAATGTTCGAAACGGAGTATTTTTATATTTTTTGTGTAAAATATTTAATTATCCAAACAAAGAAACATGGACTCCAAGTTTTATCGAAATAAACATTTATAGCAGTTAATGGTACCAACGCTGTGTTCTTCTACAATCAGTGAGATCGTTGGAAGAGCCCTACAAAAGTTACAGATATGAGCCGTCATTCATGAGATATTCACTCGTAAACCCAAGCTACTTCAATGTTATCTTCCCTCCATCAGCGATCTGTATGTTTCCACCCTAGGTAGAGCTCGATACCAAAGAAAACATGGAAAAACGAAGAAGGAAAGAAATATGACACTTGCAAAAGTATCTTAAGCATGAATTGGGGCCTAAAATCGAGCATAGTTATGTTGATTTATACGAATATATTTTTACTTTGATTACCAGAATCACAGAAGCAATATAAAAAAGGAAACTGAATACAGAGAACAGTCTGAGGGGCCATTAAGCCATATCCGACTGATGCGCTTAATGTGCTTCTGCTTAAAGTGTCCATGGACGATTTCAATCAGAAAGTGGCAGCACATTCTGCTATATAAAAATTGGGTGATTGGTACCAAGAGAGTGACGGACACAGCAATATACTGAGAGAGCTCATGAAAACTTTAAATAAATCCGACTATGTCTTCCCAAAGTCAAAGGAGACGTCAAATGAGAAGAGGTTTAGTAGGGGAGTAGGATGCTATGTATCAATCTCACTCTCTCTTTTTCTCTACCTCTCCATCTCTTGTCCTGTATCCCTATCTCAATTTTTTTTTCTTTCTCTATCTCCATCTCTCTCTCTCTCTCTCTCTTTCTATCCGTCTAACAAACTCAACTAGCCAGCGACAGTAGTATATAGAAAGTATTGTTGACCTCTATTGAACAATTACAGGAGGATACAGAAATCAACCATATACACACAGTCGTGCCGCTTCGCTGGCCTTACTGTCGACAAAGGTTAACTCCCACTGGTAGTTCAACTCCATTTATTTATATTTGGATTCCCGGTCAAAGGCACATTTTCGGCAACCGAAAAGTAGGCAACGGATCCATCTAGGAGCTTTTCTAGACGAATCTGAGACAGAGCTTTTATAGTGCCCTCTAGGAATGATTAAGAGAAAGCTTTATACACAAATAGTTTAGAAAAGAACGAAATCTATAGTCAAGTACTATGTAATCATACAGATATGTCTTTAGTATGAGAAACCAAGAACTAAGAGCCAAGAAATTATCAAATTAGTACAGGGAAAGTATACACAGGCTTACAGCTACAGTAACAGAGCATGGACAATTTGGAGCAAATGCGCTTAAAATGGATCTCTCCTATTAGAGTATTAGTCGCAGCTGCAAACTAGAAGGGAATAAGAAAACAGTTTTTCAACTTTCTTTGTGTATGTTTAGCTCTATTACAATCCATGGATACTGCGCTCCTACCTATCTATCTACCTACATATAGCTGTATACTGCTAAGTGGTGTTACTTTCATATTTCTCAATCATTCAAGATACACCAGAAAAATACCCAACTAATTTGAGTGAGCTGCCAATCTACAATGTTCTTACGGTCTAAGCTCTCTACTTTGCTCCATTTTACTTAATTTCTCTAACGCCACTTTTACTTTGAATTTCCTGATTTAGTAGTGATGCTACTAAACTTCCGCTGTGGGGCAGTCAAGCTGACGAAACATTTTGTCTGCGTTTAATATTACTTTTTGTTGTTGCAGATATATATTTCTTAAAAAAAAATGGAAGTGATTTTAAATGAACTTTGAACATCAAACCTAGGCTTTTCATGTTTTTTGTATTTATCATTGCGTATTTTTTACAAAAAAAGCCTTTTTTTCTTTGATTTAATCCACTTGGAATTCCCCTCATAAATCGGAAAAAATCATTACTTATATTACTAGTTAAACTAAATCCGTTTTTGAAGCAAATTTGTAGATATCTCTAACTAACCAATTCTTGAAATATAATCGACATATGGACAGCTAAGTCAGAAGTATACTCCCTGCCTTCGAGCTTAGAAAAAGTAATATTTTTTTAAATTAATTTTTTGTTACTTTTAATATTGTTCTGGCTCGAGCCAGGACCCTTCGCTTCACTTAAATTTAAGGCCTCATATCGGTATATCGGTAATATTTTCTGACATCAACTGCTGTTTTCTCGCTGAATTCTCTGTTACGTCCCTTGTCGACTGTAAACGAATGCCTCGGAATGATAATTGTTTCGGTATGAGAAAAATTTTGGCCGAATTCAATAATGCTGGACTTTTTTCGACGAATTTGCTCTCTCAGAGAGTAGCATAACTCACTATAATCCTCCTTTATTTATCGTCTAACCATAACATTAAAATTCCGAGTGTACTTCATCGTTCTAATCGAAGACAACAGTCAGCATCATTCTGGCTCTTAATACGCTTTGTTGACTGCTTTGCATATAAAACGAATGTGGAGTCGGAGTTGACACGTTGTGGCATGTCTTTAGCAATCTCTATTCGTTTGGTTATTTGAATAAAATTCAAATATTTCGAACCAAACATTCGCTTAAATTCGTAAAAATATATTCGTGAGATACATTAAGTTTCTTCAGTTGTTTCTGTCAAACTTAAATTACGATTTGACATGGCTCTGAAATTTTTTTACAACTTAGAAGATACCCATGCGTACATATATCACCACTGCCTTTACTAAGGATATACATGTAGGCAAGCCGAGTCGCTGAACGAACTCAAGATCATGTCAAGAAGTACATATCAGTACTACGAAGAGGACCGTAAACAAAAACTGTATGCAAGTTTGGGACTCGATTTGTGTATCAGCATTAACATACGAAACACAAAGTTGAACAAAGATCATATGGAGAACGAGAGTTCCCCACTTTAGACTCAATAATTTCATTATAGCATCCTTCCATTGATGACCTTTGTAGGCATGTCGGCCACCGCGACGAAGGCCCCTTAATCATAAAAGCAATTACCACTGTATGGATTTACAAAGTACAATAAATTACAAATATAACTTAGATTTATCTAAAAATGTGTTTATATAGATATCATTAGGGATACCAAACACTTATGTTTAAAATTTAACAAAAGATATGTCATAAAGGATAATTTTAAGTAAATTATAATATCATGAAGGATATATGCGGAGCGCAACTCCGATGTAGAATAATTGGATGCGGTAGAGTCCTTAGTCACAGTTCAAACGTAAATCCTTTCTCTTTAATCGCTTAGGGTAGCTCTGCTGCAATAATTTTTTAGCTAGAAAGTTTGGGTGGTTAGATAACGTTTATGAGCAGTTTCTTTATTTCTTCGGTGACGGTTTTAATCCCCAGATCGTTATGAATTGTGGAGTTTTTTCCATATCAAGGGGCTTTACATATTGAACTTAAGGTTTTAGATGGCAGTCTTTGAATTCTATCAAATTCGGCTCCGGTACGCCCAAGATGGCTTTATAAGCATATTAAAAAGTAAAACTTTGTTTCCTAGACTTAGTTTGGACTTAGAGCCTACAATCCAATGTAAGTTCGCAATTTTCAATTTGGTTTGAGTATTCTTTTTTCCATGAGGTTCTTCCAGGTGAGCCTTTTATCAAATGTAACTCCCAGGTAGGTAACGAATTCTTTGTGAGGTATTGTATGTGTATTTTTTTAGGGTAAATGTTACTAGTATACGCTTAGCCCCATTGACTTTAATTCTCCAAGTTGTTAGCCACTCTTCTATTACTTTAAAATGTTCTTGTTATCTGTAACTCGCTGTCAAGGGGTTTGAATGGACACTAACAGGCCAATTCTGTCGAGGTAACAAAATTTACTTTGGTATTAAAATTTACCATTCAGTAAATTTTGTTACCATTTCGTATTCTGAGCTCACTGTTACCCTGTAAATTTTGTTACCAGCGAAATAGGAGGTAACAAAAATATTTGCTGTTTGATTTTGTGTTGTAAGTTTGAGATAAAATATAAAACCAGAATGGGTAGGCATATTTTAGGCCTGGAATTCATTGAAGCTTTTTTTGTTGTCCAGGCATATTTTCAATAATTAGGTTCAAATATTTAGGATTTAATTAATTTATTCATTAAAACTTTTTAATTTTTTTGTGCACCGTCTTCCATTTTGATGTGAATATTTTTCTTTTTACTTTATTAACTGGCAAATGTACTTTGACATTGACGAAAAAAGCAGTGCTGCCAAATTTTTTTCAAACATTGTAACTAGTTCGCCAGAATACCAAATTCAATTTCGGGTGTTAAAGAAAAGTAACAAAATTTACTTTACCGTTAACAGTAAGAATAGGCCTGTAAGTATTGCTGTATCATCCGCAAAAGTTGATGTGATGAGGTTTGAAGATATGTAGTGTAAAAGTGGCTGCTCATGGATTTTTCAAGTGTTCCAAGTACGAGTTTAATAAAACAAATATTTTTTTGTGTGCATAATAAAAAATATATGCTTATATAATTTATTGAATTTTCGACTACAAATACTCCATACAAATTACATTCAAATATATAAATACTACATAAATACATAAAAAAGTTAAATCATGCAATGATTGCTTTGAAGAACTCAAACAATTCATCATCGGTTATATTTAGGACATTTAATGGATTATTAAATGAACGCATCATTCTGGCTTCATATCTGATTACACATGGGTCGTTATAGCTTAACGTACAGGTTCTAGAGGCTTCTGTGAAAGTGTGACTTCTCACTTCTTGCTTATTCCTTGGATACTCTCGCATTGAAGTTAACGCTTCCATTTTCGAATTTTTACCCAGGCTATTTTGTCGGACTTGCTTTGACAGTGGATTGCCATACTTAATTGACTTGTCACTCTTTGCTTGAATTTTAATTTGCTCAGTTGGTAAGCCATCCAAGGGCCTTATTTTATCTTGAAGCATCGACGACTGAGTCACTAAGTTTTTTGAGTTTTGTTTCCTATCGTCGCTGATA